GGCAGATTGAGGCACCTCACGTCTGTAAAAATCAACTTTTATTTTACTTCGTCTTTCCAACTGCCGCTAGCTTTCATCTTTGCATTGTATTAACATTTAAAGCAGCTGGCATCAGCGGTACCATAACTAGTTCGATTGGATCAATTATATCATCTTCCCTTCAAAATAGGCTTCTCAGGACTTAAGACTATCTGGCAATCTGAGTTCTTCAGTTGGTTGCCCAATGCATCGTAGAAATGAGCATTGTGTTATACCATAGTGTGCCGGGAAACAAAGACCTTGTGTAGCAGGAAAACCGCACTCGTAAAGAAGTGGAGACGTCCTTGCTTCAAAAAGAAAAGAGTGGGAGCAGGCCGACAGATGAAATAACTGGTGAGTGGGATTACAGGAAACTTACGTTGTAACGGATACAAACGCCTTTGAAAACAGCTGCACCCCCGTTAACGTCCTCAAGATGCGGAACGAAAAGGGAAAGCCATACGCGATCAAATGGCGTTCTTCCGTCTGTGTCATTCAGAGTTATCGGCATACGGTCTGCAGAGGGAAAGCGAACAGCTCGGTATATATATATATATATATATATATATATATATATATATATATATATATATATAGAGAGAGAGAGAGAGAGAGAGAGAGAGAGAGAGAATTATTTTAATGAAGCGCTCGAGAAGCTTGCCTGGCTTCTGAAATGCTACTCCAGGTACCGGGCGATGACTGATGTATACACTGATAAACACATGACACATTCAGTCGCACACACGCACCACACTATTTACAACATTTCGTTCAAGCTTGTGGCCCACAAGAATGTCAGTAGTGCTTTTGTGCCTTGTAACTGGAGCTCTTCTGCCATGGGCCTAGAATATCTGTCAACTCCGAGTTTGAGTCCCGTTGTAGTTTTAAGGACATCTTCAGAGACTCTCTTTCTGATGCGTATTTCGTGAACTCACAGAAGACGTGATTGATGCCTTCTACGACGTTTCATTGGACACACAATAGTATGTCTGATAGTACGATTTTGTTCCTGAAGTAATTGGTATATGCGACGTTTAGTCAGACGCGGTGTAAACATGTGCCTCACGCAGTTCAAGCAGAACCTCCTTCTTAGGTGCCTACTCAGCAATGCCAAATAAAAGTAGCAATTCTATAGTAGCCACTCCAAACAATCAGTCCCAATCGCTACGAGAAGATGCTTTCTCTCGGGTATTACTTTGTTGCAGTCAGTCTGTATCATACGCACTATGTCTTCTAACAAATGTATCGTTACAGCACTGCTACACTGAATTTCTGGAGATACTTATAATATAAGCTCGAGAAATCAATACTTCGAAGAAGCTAAATGAAAAATTTATGCTATTAACGTTTGTTTATTAACCTTAGGCTAAATATTGAATTCAAGAAAGCACAGTAAGCCGTGCCTGGCCAGCAAAACTGTGTTAATATACACCATTAACCTTTCCTAAATATGCACTGAATCGTTAGGTATGGTCATCTCGAGAGGCGAATAGCTAGAGAAGAGTTGCCTGAAAAGTCAGCAAATAATAATGAACATTAATAAGTCGGATGACCTGGACAGCGGTTAATAAGTACACACGATTGCGCTACTCCTGCTATTGCAAGCAATTTAAGCGTTGATCATAAGACTCATGACTTAAATAATCAAAATGGCGGTTTTTTTTTTTTGCTTCACTTGTGCAAGCACTCCTAACTCTTAGTATTAATCTGGGCAGGACGCAATTTGGTTTGATAAGCTTATCATTCATACGATAAACTTGGTTATCATGGTTTTGTATTTTCCCGCAAGTTCTAGAAGGCTACTTACAACTTTTACATATTGTTCAGTGGCAACGGCAAAACAGAACTCTGCATTTCCGATGGAGGCGGAAATGTTGTAGGCCCGTGTGCTCAGATTTGGGCGCACGTTAAAGAACCCCAGGAGGTCAAAATTTCCGGAGCCCTCCACTACGGCGTCTCTCATAATCATATGGTGGTTTTGAGACGTTAAACCCCACAAATCAATCAATCAATCAATCAATCAAACAGAACTAGCAACAAAAAGCCATCAAAAAAATCGACGACCATTACGATACGATCTAATTTGAATTCTGAGCGCCACTTCATGTTGAGGCAAGGCCAACTTTGTTTGAAGTTTTCGCTTTCCGCAAGTTTTTTCCCCAACGCAGTAAATGCAGATTTTTTTTTTATGTAGGACAGCACCCACTACGCCATTATTCATCTTCCTGAGGATAAGCGAGGTACCCATTACACGTCTGTAAAGTATTATGCGCACGTTGTTGATGGCGCATGTGGTTAATGACGGTTAGCTATTATGGCTGAGCACTGTGCTGTGGGTGGGATGCATCAAATCACACACTCGTATACCACAACTAGCATTGTGTAACGACTGTTGGCTATTTTACTGCTTTATCCGCCGGCTACCTACAACATCCTTCTCATTGATACTCGTTATTTTACTTTTCTGCCAAAAAGTATTAGATAGGTTAAAGCGATTCCTTGCCTGGCTTGCTTGTATATGGCACTCTCGCAAACGAGCCTGAAACACAAGCGCGACTTTATAAGCCAGGAATGTTGGGCTAGAATGGCTGGCTATCACTGCGACCCTGACAGGCAACCGGCACGCGTGCTTTTTTCGCGAGAGCATGGTTTGGTATGTTGATGTACTGAAAGAACAATACTGTGCACTACTAGGTTTCCGGGGTTCAGCACCTGACTTACCATAAGAAATTCAATAATGTAAATAGCTGTACGTTCCTTGACTGTACCGGCATTGTTGCAGTTGTGCCTAATATTGTAGGAAGTGTCCGCTATTGATACATGTGGCGTGTTAGAATCTGGTAATAAAGAAAAAAAAAGTAGCGTGACTCTGTGGAAGATTGCTCGTCTGCAACATGGATGCCCCGGGTTCACATGCAATTCAATCCTGATTTTCTGGAATTCGTTATATTTATAGTGTTGGTTACGCCACCAACGGCAACGGTGACGTCGCTCAATGGAGGAACAGTAGCTAAAAGATGCGCTCTAAAATTTTATGACCACTATGCTCAACGCAGCACTACATGCGGTTGTTAAGGGTCGGCGTCGACAGCCCTTCCCCAGCCGAGAATCCAATAAGACCTTTGATAAAGTACGTTGATTATGTGACTGTTAAAAGTGAATTTCGCTATAAGAATTTCGCAAGAGCTACTGTTACAAAATATCGTCGTATAATTTCCGGCATATTGCATACATCTAAACCGTGGGCCAGATTGGAACGCCCAGAGATAGTATTTCGTAGAAGTATATTGCAGGAATTTTTTCGATGACCCCCCGTGTTAAAATACGGATTTCAAAAATTCCAAGGCAAGTTGTTTCGTAGCAAGAAAATTTCTTTTGACTGCAGCCTGTTTTGATTGCAGCCTTGTATAATGGAAAGCGCGGTATAGACAGGACACATCACAGGCAAGTAACAATAGACCGAGTCTATCAAAAATTGCCTTCGCGTATATCGTTCCTATCTTCTTTTTTTCTCTTTTTTCAAAATAAAACAACACGTGTTCCAAGCTCTTTTGTGGGTACTTGTTCCCGTCGTAGTAAGTGCTATCTACACTGCATAAACATACACATCGTTAATGCCCCTTAAGAAGACGTGCGCAATAAAACGTCGCCACCGTCTGTTGCAACTTTTCTCACTGTTGTCTGGTTGACTGTCCTCTACTGCATGATGAAGAGACCCCTCTCCCTCTGCTCTTCCCCTCCACCCGTCTAGATGTTTCTGCAGGTGACGTCAAGCGAAGAAGTCACGTGTGCCGGGTGACTCCCAGAGAACGTGCGCCCTTCGAGGGTTCCCCGGGGACAGTGACTGTTGCGAAAAGCAGTAGACACGGCTGGAAGTTATCAGTCGGGGCGACATTCAGGCGAGCTCCTGTGAACGCATGCAGGTTTCCTTGATTCCAGAACCACCTATCCGTGTCAAGGCACAGAGAATCTCGGCACCTTTATTCCATTGTCTTCGCCAGCTCCTCATTGTAATCTCCAAAGGGACAGCAAGGCCACCGGTTGCTACGAAACACGAGCGGGTGCCCGTTGGTAATTGCTTAACACGTCACGCGTGCCCAACATGTGCCAGCCAGCTTCGTTTGAGCTGCTCCGCAGAATATAATGGGAAGGTGGGGACCTTCATGACGTAGTCGGATCCCTCTCCCAAGAACGAAATTTCCCATTAAGCGGAAAGGCGAAAAATAAAGAGCGAATTCGGGGAGGGCGAGAAAGATGGAGAAACCAGCGCTACGTCACTCGGTTCAGATCACTCCTGTACGGACCCCAAAGTTGTCCTGGTATTAAGAGGGCACGCGAGAACGGTTAAGAGTTTCAGTTACAGCAAGGAAACCGAAGCGCGAATACACTAAGCCACGATAGGAACCCAACTTCGGAATTCAACTACGGTAAGTCGCGGTCATCCTTCACTTCATCGCTACAACAAGGTCACTGCACAACTCAAGAAAACTGCACGCGGGACAATAATATAGGATTCATTGAGCTTTTTTGTTGTAATAACAATACCTAAGGCAGTAATTATTGAAATTATTCTTTTAAGGTAACGCAGTTTTAACACATCGTCATTGCGATGGAGATCCAAGAATAATCTTAGTCTCAGTATAAAGCGGCATACGTATGGAGTGGGTATAGTACAGTGCGAGCGTATGTGGTTAATAGTATGTGTTTACGTTCTGCTATTTCAAACTCTACATGTTTACTTGCAGCTGGACATTACATTCAAAGCGCATTTCGGCTTAAGTGCACTGAGTAGAATAAAAGAGACCGTCTATGAACAAGTAAGGGTAATCCCATTCATAGTGCTCAACTGATGCCAAAACTTATAGGGAGTAGTTGCTCCTTAGAACTAAGCTTTACATTTCTTTTCGCGTGCAGTTTAATTCATGTCGAGACGATCAGTTGCCGTCTCTAAAAAAAGGGGGAATACTCTTTGTGCAGATCTCGGCCGCTCTCATTTTCGGGAACATGACGACGCTGCTCAACCCAATCAAGTTTCTCGATGACATGGAGCGACACTGGGACCCGCGCACGCGGCACTATGGCATGGTGCTCAACCCGTGGTTCGTGTTCCCGCTCATCATATTCTACGTGTACTTCGTTCGGTTCGCCGGTCCCCGGTGGATGAAGAAGCGCGATCCTTTTCCCATCACGAACCTCGTCCGTGCTTACAACGTGGCCATGGTGGTGATGAACGCCACTTTCCTTTACCAAGTGCTGCGTATAACGTACCTGCCCGGCGGGACGTACAGCTTGTGGTGCCAGGGCGTGACGGGGCGCGCCGAAGGCGCTTCGGCGGCCGTCTACCAGTCAGGCTGGTGGTACCTGCTGGTGCGCTACGCAGACTTCCTAGACACCAGTATTCTTCGTGCTCCGCAAGAAGTTTAACCAGGTCTCGCATCTTCACGTCATCCACCACGTGCTGGTGGTGTTCAACGCCTGGTTCTGGGCCATGTTCGCGCCCGAAGGCCAGCCCGCACTGGGACTCTGCATCAACTACGTTCGTACACGTAGTCATGTACACATACTACTTCCTATCCACGTTCGGGCCTGAAGTGCGCAAGTACCTCTGGTGGAAGCGCTACCTGACACAGCTGCAGATCATCCAGTTCGTCGTATTCATCCTCCACATGTCGATCCCGCTCTTCGTCGACTGCGGCTTCCCCAACGTGTTGGTGCCGTTCGCCATCGCACAGGCGGGTTTTGTGTTGGGCATGTTCATCAACTTCTACTACCAGACCTATATCAAGCCGAGGAAAGTGTCGGCGGCCGCTTCCAATGGCAAGGAAGTCACGAATGGAGCGACGCACACGCTAAAGAAAGACTGAAATACTTACGTAGTGATTCAAGAGACTGTGCGAAAATGTGCCAGGTTTCTTCTGCGAGCAGACCGCGTCAAGTTGGGTTATTTCGTACTATATAGGCAATCATTTAAGCGCGAAGCTAGGAGTGGGTTGCTGTATTTGCCTAAGAGTATACGTCAGGGGACACCAGAACCGGTGGCAGTAAGAGTGAAGAATAAGCCTGTCTTGAGCGTCCTACCACCGCAGAACGCCAGCTGATGAAGCAAATTAGCCACTATCGCCATCGGCCATACCATGCTGAATGCGCCGGTTCTCGTGCACATTAGGCATCATCCATTTTAATTGCGTGAAAGCCATCAGAATGAGTCATAGTACGCGTTCACAGCAAGACACTAATGCAGACCACTATTTATGTCATTTAGCGTGAACTATAGTTACCGTAAGAAATTAACATTCTAATGAGCCGTGAGGCAAGCATACAATTCATTTGTATCGACCATTTTGTATACGTCCAATACATGGCCCACCGTGCTTCTCTTTTGACTCTGTACTAGTCATATCTGCTTAAAAACAGACGTGTCTGACGAAACTGTTTGTGTGAAGACAAAACCAAAAACAACAAGACAGAACTAATTGGAGAATGAAGATCTTTTCCCCACATTTCTACCATATAATAAAATAATTGTCGAGTGTGAGCCCCGAGTTCGAGAAGCTTAAGTGATCAGTGCACATAACTACTTTGTTTCGAACTGTATGAATAGGTGTCTATGCATTTTTGTGCTATGTACAAAATAAACCTCATTTGTTAGTGCTTGTCATGCCATTCCATCAGGGTGGTGCATGATGCCTGCGCCGCCGCAATGTCAAATGAAATATTTCCATAGGCAAGTTACATTGGTAAGTGAGCTGTGTTCTTTAGTAGATTTCTTTTTATTAGTAGCCCGAGCTGCTTTCACTACGCTGGAAAACGTGACGGTAATCTTCCGTGCTAGCGGAAAATCTCATGCCGTGAAAATTCGTAGCAATGATCTTGCTTTTCATAACGTCCGTACAAATATTGTGGCATGCCGAGGTCACAGATAGGAATTGCAATTCTATGTAAGGCCTGCAGGTAAAAACGCAGCGACGCACACAATTATACCAAATAGTCATCGCGAACACTTGAGATAGATATCACTACGCAGGATTTTATAGGTGCATCTTCCACCCCGCCACATGTTCGTGCATTACATCGGCACATCGTCAGCACAAGCCGGAATGAAGAAAGCCACTGGACACATAGGCACGAGCCACATGGGAAGGATATCATTATCATAAAACATCATTATCACCGTATAGTCAAGCGACATTGAGCCTTTGATATATACAGCTCTGCTGGTCAGCGTTGAAGAAAGGGCATATGAAATCTGAGGAGAACGAAAGGAAGAATCAACAGCCTAAAACTTTCCGAGGCCACTCTCCCACCGCCCGTGCAGGGTGACACACGTTCGCACACAGTGTCAATGCTCCACTGAGACCCAAAAAGCCGCTGAGCTTGGGTTGCGGGCCTGAATCCCAACATCTGCTGCCGCATTTAGATGGAAAGAAAATTCAAAATAATCGCATACTTAGCTATAGGAGCAGTTTAACCCGACATCAGCAACCGATCCTAAACATAGCCCTTGCTAAGTGGTAGCTCCAACTGTATTCATAGTATAATCACATAGCGCTGATAGGGCGATCGGAGGATGCGATCGGCGCTGACCTGCTGTATGGTACGTGTTGAATAATGCTGCCATTTGACACAATCTTTAACAGTAAGGCTTGAGCAAAACACAGCCTCCTTTATGTTTTTTTCAATGCCAGTGCAAACGCGCGCTTTACACAGGTTCCGTCAGTCCGCTTCAGTTCAGGGAGTCATGACCTCCTAGACTGCGGGTGCGCGGCGTTGTGCGCGCGCTCGCAATCTCGGAGGCCATGATGAAGTGGCCTTAATGCGACTCCAAACGAAGGGTGGCGCTGCTTGCGTCACACGTGCTTCTGAGCGCTTTCCTCCGGAGATGCGATAGACGTGTTTTCCACTCCTACATCATACATCAGTCATATTTGTTCCTTTGGGCTCCTTCATTCTAACTCGAAGCAACGCCGCCACCGCATTATAGCGCAGCGCATGCAGTGATGCTTCCCCATTGGCTGCCCGCATAGTTCCACGAACGGTTACACGCTATCTCAAAACAGCGTATCTTTTTACAGAGCCAGCCTGACCTCCAATATTGGGAACACGAAAAATTCAAGGCGCCGCTCACGGATCTGTACGTAAATGAACCAAACATTACTTCATACGATCTCTGTCGCGAGGCACTGAATGAGGGGTTCTCACCCCCATGACGGCAAAGTGTACGCGAAGGCCAGGTAAAGGGGTAGAGCAGGAAATATTTAGGGGAGAGGGTGGCGGGCAATTGGATCAGGGCTCATCTGGCTGGCAGTGATAAAATAGAGGAGACCTTGGCCAAACCCCACGTATCTTCAACGGCAAGCTCTTTCGGAGTGACAAGCCGATAAAGATTTGTCGCTGTCTGCGCGCTTCACTACAAAACGTCACAGCACGTGATCGTGGTTGTGCAATGTCAGCCAAGGCAACACGTCGCTGATTATCTGACAGCAGTGCACTACTAGTACTGCAGTTCTCGGTTAGTAGAAGCACCTACTTTAGCTTGTTCATACCACTCAGCCACAGACTTGTATGGTTCGTTCTTTACTGTTGCATTTATCGCTGCGCATTTTAAACGTGTAAATGCGTTCACAGGACTTCAATGAATGCTCGAGGCTATCATCACCGTCATCGTATATTATTTCTACTGCAGGTCGAAAGCCTCCACCAATCAACTAAAACATAAAGCTTAATAGTCTACCACTGAGTTACGCCGGTGCTTGTAGCTTGTCAAACTTGCCTTAGACAGGCATGACCTAGCACCAATGGCACAGTGGGGCTCGAACCCGAGTCCGCTAAGTGCCACTTTTTTCCCCAATTTCGCGAGATGTGGTTACGGACACCGGCGGCAGACAACAACTGCGCGTGACCCGAAAAGTGATCTCATAACAGCTTTCGCTGTAAAAAATTAGCACAATGTATAAAGGAATGTTTTATTGATAGGACAAGGCAGGGTAGGAACAACGTAAAAAAGTAAGTGTGGTAGCCGTTTAGCTGCGCATTGTAATAAGTTCGCACGTGTATCAATGTTCAGTCGAACTTGATTCCTGAAGTAAAAAAGTAGAAACACAGAATAAGAAAAATATTGGAGTAGCCTACCACATTTCTAAAACTGAAGATAGATGCCCGCCATTTCACTCCTTATGACATATATTTTTCAAAAAATATTATCTGAACTCGTACTTGCCGAAACGACCGTACGTTCACGAGGCACGCCATTAAGTGAAATGCTCCGAAAATTTTTATCAGCTGGTGTTTTTTTTTTCAGCGCAAGCTCGCATCACACAGTACACGGATATCTAGCATTTCGCCTCAAGAGAAACGAGAACGTTCCGAGTGGGATCAAACGTGCGACTTTCTGACGATAAGACTACGAGAATGTTGTAACTTGCCAGCGGATCTACACGGACAAGGCTACCAATACATGGGCAGGCTACCAAGAAGGCATGCGCAGCGCGACACAACAGTGCACATGCTAGTGGCCTATGAGTCATCCCGCACACAGTGTTGCGCCGGAATGGGACATCACCGCACCACACCACAGCATAAATATCGCTCATCCCCAATCACTTGCGAGGTCTTTAAACGCTAAGCTTCAAAGGTAGCCGTGACACCTGTTCTTCGGATGCCACGTGGCCACAGGGGAACACGTTATCATTTATACTGTTGTGTGACGAGTCTAACTGTTACAGTACCTGAAAGGAACACTGACCATCTTTCTCTAGTTTACTGCACTTAACTAAAAAATAAGTAGTGCAAGGAGACAAGTAAGGGAAGTAAGGGAAAGAAATAAGTAAGCGAAAGCAGACAACCACCCGTTTTTAGCCCGAAACCACGAGGAAATCCGTTCAGATTTCTCAGAAAACGAAAACAGCTTACTTGCAGAAAAATTCGATTCATTGCGGAAAAGCCCCGGACCACGGCGAATAGATCCGTCCATCCGTCCATCCACCCACCCACCCGCCCGTCCATCTGTCCGTCCGTCCGTCCACCTACCCACCCGTTCGTCCGTCCGTCCGTCCACCTACCCACCTGTCCACCCATCCATCCACCCATTCACCCATCCATCCACCCATCTGCCCATCCACCCATCCATCCACCCATCAACCCATCCATCCATCCACCCATCCGTCCATCCACCCATCCATCCATCCATCCATCCATCCATCCACCCATCCACCCATCCATCCATCCATCCATCCATGCACCCATCCATCCATGCACCCATCCATCCATGCACCCAACCATCCACCCACCCATCCACCTATCTACCCATCTACCCATCCATCCATCCATCCATCTATCCATACAGACGAACTTATCGACAATCCGTTCGGATATTCGTGTGACATGTGTGAAGGACTGCGGCACACAAAAGACTTCGCGCCAGTTATTAGTTTCATGCGTGAAACATTCAGTTTACCAGCGCCTCCTTTACTCACGCTACGTATATCCTGGCATAGCCGAGTTAAGCCACTGCTACGCTTTTTTTTACATGGTAGAATCTGATGTTACATTAACAATATTTCACTAGGCGATTCAGCGCTGTTCCTGTTACGTTTGTTACTGGTTTGATGCCTTTTCTTGCGATGCTTCAGGTTAGACAACCACCCGCGACAGGCGTGAGAATGTCTGTTTCCGCATTGTTCCTGTTTTTAGTGGGTTTAAGCGGCAAATTACGGCGCAATCAGGCCATCATAACGAGAGACTTTTAATCACTTTTTATAGGGTTTTATCTGGGCATGTTTACCTGTTTCTGGCCAAGCGAATGACTAGATTGTAACAGCTGAATCTTTTGACAAGTGTGCCGCAAAGTGAGTGCCACGAGCGCCAACCACGTTTTGATCATCCCATTAGACACGCTATAAAACCAACAGCAACATCCCGCTGAGCAACACTATAATCATACGGCTGCTCAAATGGCTTATTTTTCTATGTCAGGTATTTCTAGAAAAATGAAGGGCTTTATTTTTTATCACGCCCTCCAGGGTATAAAGTATCTCAAGTAGACCGTCAGTTTACTTAAAAACATCATGTGACCGCTACCCACTTAGCGATGCGCTCATAATATGGCCCTCAGTCTGTCATTAGCAGGCGATGGCGCTCTGTGAAGTGCTTTTTCTCTTTTCTTTCTCCTAAAGCCAACATTCCAAGTGGTGCCTTTACTTTGAAAAACACGTTCCTCGCCAGCCTCGATGGCCCTGAGGGGCGCTGGAAATCGTATTCAAGGTTAGTATGCATGTACGTGTAATATCATGTTGCACCTATTCATCAAGTGCATATGCGCATCCAAAAAAATAATAAGAAGAAGACCACAGCCAACATCGTATATACTTACCTTGCATAGAGCGTCCACACTGTCTAATCCACAAAGCTTGACTCCAAATCGCCTAATCCCACCCACTCTGCGCTGGTTCTTGTTCTATAATTCTAAGGAAGTGTTGGTAAAGCACTAATACGGCGAATACAATTACAATGACAATGTTTAGTGCATTTATCAATAGAACATACATCATTTTTAGTAAATGGTTAGCTCATTACTTGTTCTAATGCTTTCAATATACATCTTTATCTGACGCAGTGTCATCAGCAGCAGCAGCCCACTACAGGGCAAAGGCCTTTCCCATGATCCACGAATCCCCCCAGTCTTGTGCTTTCTGTTGCCATGTTACACCTGGAAACTTTTTTTATCTCATAGGCCCACCTAATTTTCTGTCTCCTCTTCGCGCGTTTGCCTCAACTGAGAATCCAGTCAGTCACCCTTAATGGCCAGCGGTTATCCTGCCTACGTGCTATACGTGCCCGGCCCATGTCCATTTCTCCTTCTTCATTTCAACTATGATATCCTTAACCCCGGTCTATTCCCTGGCCCACTCTGCTATCTTCTTCTCTCTTAAGGTCACACCTATAATTTTCCTTTCCATTGCTCGTTGAGTCGTCCTTAATTTAAGCTAAACCTTCTTCTCAAGGTTTCTGCTCTGCAGGTAAGTACCAGCAAGATGCAGCTACTATCTACCTTCCTATTTGAGAATGCTCGCCGAATGTGATCCACCCCATCCTTATTCTTCTAGTTATTTCACCCTCATGGTTCGCTTCCGCAGTTACTACCTGTCCCAAGTAGACATACTCCGTTACAAATTCCAGCGTATCTCCACCTATGACAAAGTGCTGTTTTCTGCCGAGACTGTTGCACATTACTGGAGTTTCGTGCATATAAGTATTGATATCTAACCTGCTGTTTTCCGTGTCAAGTTCAGTCCTCATGAGCTGTATTTTGTCCCCTGAATTACTTATCAAAATAATGTCATCAGCAAATTGCAGGTTACTAAGATACTCTCCATTAACTTCCCAATCTTCCCAATCTAGAGCCCTGAAAACCTCCTGCAAACAAGCGGTGAATAGCATTACAGAGACCATGTTTCCCTGTAGTACACCCTTCTTTATTGAGATTCTGTCGATTTCTTTATGGAGAACTATGGTGGCTGTGGATGGATGGACGCGAAATTGTAGATTTCTTCCCGTATGTTTATGTAGGATTCTTCGATGTCCTGATTCCGTAGTGCTTGCATTAATGCTGATGCATGGACGCTTGTCAGTGAGTTCCAATTGTGTGCAAGGGTTCAGGAATGAAAAAAAAAATCAGAGTTTCGCCAAAGGCAAAGCAATGAATGGAATAGCAGCATAATCGAATGTTCTACGAAGCAAGGCTAGCATTTTTAGGAGCAATATTATTTGTAGTAAACATGAGCTTGCTAAGCAACAAAGTTTCCTGTGGTGCGGCCACAGTGAATTACCACAACAAGGTTCGTCCGTAGTGACCAATAATGGAGTTGATGAGAGGTGCCTCCCGTGGGTAGCTCACGCTGGTACTAAAGACTATACGTCACGTGTCGCCGCTGGTGGCAGTTCTTTATGTGTAGAGTGCATCTATATATGAACGACCGCTTCAGGTACACCTTTGGCACCGGTTTTCAGTGGTGAGAGCGCAGCCCGTAGAAGCTCCCACCTGCTGTGGGAGAAGAGCCGCGCGCTGATTATTTTCCCCATAGCGCGGCAATCATAAGCGCCCCCCCCCCGCCCCTTGTTCGCTCACGAGACACAGTATATATATATGAGAAAATGACGGTGGTGAAGGCAACGGCCAAAACCAGCCAAGACTGTCCATTGTAATTGCTATCGCAATAAAAGAAGAACGTCCGTGACTATACAACGCTGCTTGATATGATAATTTAGGAAAAATGCCGGTGTAATGATGATTTTCCTTTACCGGTACAGCAACTGACATGTGGCTTGTGTAACAGGCATATCCAATATTATTACTGAAATACGTGTCCTCGTCATGATGAATGTGTCTTTCGTGCCACGTTAAAGACATGAAATAATAGTTATTGCCTAAAACAGGTACTGTTGCGGCAACTCCTATTGTAACCAAGTATTTCATGCATAATTTTCAACGTCGCTGCTCCTTTGCGATTCTAATAGCGAAATCTTCCCCGCTGAGTTTTATAAGCATAGGCAATATCGCGAACGCCGCTAATCAGCTAAAATCAGGCACAATGTCTAATGACCTGAAATGATGTAATATGTTGAGACGGACGCAGCCTCGTACTAAAGTTCAGATTGTTCTTGACCTACGGTGCTTTCTTAGCTTAAGCTCAGTGCATGGTGAATAAAACTTACTGCAATTTACGTTTGTCGAAATTAGGCTACTCCTTCCTGGTACCAACTTGCGCTATTGAAATGCTCCTACCACTAAGTCACCTAGGTGAATTTATACCATTGATGGTACTCAAATGCGCATTTCACGTTTGCATTACAGTCAAGCTCACATTTTCAGACAGCTAAATCGCACTATACATGCTTTGTATGGGTGAAGTATAGAAGGGAGCAAGAGTAAGTCGTAATGGAAGTATAGAAATAGCTGACCGCAAGATAAGAATGCAACGAATCAAGTGGTTTGACCCGTTTTATTGAATAAATGCATAGACTCTTCTAAAAAACAAAACGTAACAAGAAAAACAAAACAGTGCTACAAGACGGTGAACATGTTGGTTGTCACTTGCGGCGAGAAACAATAGTGGGTGCACCATGCGAAAGCACGCTGCTATGGCAACAACAACAACAAATGACACACATCAAAAGCGCTACTTGGAAGCTCTATACAGTGACACCATAACAAAGCTTTATGGTGCTGACACTTATGGAACTGTTGCTGAGAAAAGTATATCCGAGGGGCCGCTACTTCCCATTACAAAACTGAACAGATGAACTACCTGTTAGCAGTTAGTGAAGCCTTAGTATAGCGTCCCGCGGTTCAGTACAGTTCAGAGCAGGTGCTTGCATTCACAAATCGTAGGCTACAAAATGCAGCTTTCAAGCAAATATAAAACACGCGAAGGCGTCACTGACACCCGTACTCACGCGATAGTGACAATAAACTAGTCTTCGAAACATATCCACAATGTAGTGACTCTTAGAAACTTAGGCTTTCTTCGGCCTTTCGCCTGGGGCCCGTGCTGTCGCTTGAGTATGAGCGGCGTCACTGTCTATCACCTTGGCAGCACCCCTCTTCATTCCTTTCCTCTTGATGTACTCGTGAATGTAGAAGTTTATGAAAAGCACCAAGCCCAGCAAGCCCTGCGCGAAGGCTAGGCCGATCATGATGCGCGGATAGCCGCAGTCGTAGAAGAGCGGGATGCAGATGTGAATAAGGAGCACGACGAACTGCGTGATCTGCATCGTGGTGATGTACTTCTTCCACCAGAGGTACTGTTGTACCGACGGCCCGAGGCACGCCAGGAAGTAGTAGGTGTACATGACCACGTGCATTCCGGCATTCACGCACATGCCGAGCAACACCTGGCCGTCGCCACCGAAGGCGAGCCACAGCCAGCCGCTCCAGACGACCAGGGCGTGATGCGAGACGTGGAGAGCGGTAAGGTGCGAGAACTTCTTGCGCAGCAAGAAGAAGAACGTGTCCAGGAAGTCGCCGATCCTGACGAACAAGTACCACCACGAGTAGTCGAGAAGCATGAGCGCGTGATAGTCGGTAGAGTGCGTCATGCCTTGGCAGAAGAAGCTGTACCCACCGTACCAGAAGGAGTGCTGAAAGAACTTGAACATGAAGAACAGGTTGAGCACAACCATCGCGAAGTTGTAGGCCATGATGGCCCCCTTCAGGTTGTAGGGCTGCCGGTTGCGCATGAACCGCGGGCCCCCGTGGTACACGATGTACAGGTAAAGCCCCAGCACGGTAACTATGAAGCGGAGGTCACCGATGAAGAGCATGTCCTTTGTCCTGGGGTCCCTCTTGGACATCAGGTAACGCCATGCCTCGGTAAGGGACGCTGTCACACCGCCGGACTCCATCGTTTCAGTGAGCGACCTACACGTCGCCGTTCCCCGGTACAGCAACTTCTCTGTTCGCTGTACCACGGAGCACCCCGAGCACCTTATGCGGGGGAGCAATCTACGCGACAGAACACCGATTCAGGCCGTGTGAGCCACGGCTGGGGTGAAACAGCCGACTTCACCAGCGACCGCAGCGATTGGGGTCGAGCCAGTGAGGAGATCCGGTGGGGGAAAGGGGGAAGTGAGAGTGCGTTTCCTGACAGATCGGACGTAGCTTCCACTTCAGTCCACCGCATCGCCGGGCACAGTTCCGTTGCGCGTCGAAACGCTTGGAGAAAGCCCCGTAAGAACCGGTTCCGCGTTCCGCAGCGGCAACATTATGACGCGATGCAAGGTAGAGGCAGTCGTAACTAGTAGTCTTTTCGGCAAAAACTCGACGGCTGGCGAACCTCCAGCCAGCTGTCACCACGTCCCGGTGATGAGATTTTTATGCAAGCCCTTCCTATTTCGGCGATCCGTACAAAATTAGTCAGCCCGCTGCGCGGGCATTGTTTTTAAATAGACTCGTGGACAGAACGCTCGTACGTCTTTGTCGCTCGCTTGTGACATGTTACTCTAGCTGAATGCATTGTGACGTATGCCGCGTTATTTTGGGGTAAGGACCGGAGCATGACTTTCGAGAAGAGTCGTTTAGTTATACAAAACCAATAGGTTATTGCGCAACAAAAAGATGAGTTCAAATAGCTTATTCATGAGGGCGAGTCGCGCACAAAAAACGTAAGAATCGTGTGTTAAGTGAAGATGACGTTCTTGTGACTGAAGATTATCGGCCTCCCGTACGGGTAAAGCGAGAGCCATTACACCAAGTAAAGAATGGCAGTACTATAACTCCTGAATATCAACACTGTTGTAACACGGGTAAAAAGATATCTTAAACGGGAGATCAACGAGACTCACCACATGTGGTCCCCTCAGGTAGCTGTTCTAGATACGCCAACCATCTCTCAGACTGGTGCAAAGAATGCACGCCCACGTACGCGCAGCCAAAGCACGTGGCGTTCGCCACATCTGCAATTTCCCTCGTCCGTTGACAAGAACGCAAATGCGACAAAACAAGGGAAGGAAGTACTAGAAAGTCAATGTTTCCTTACATCAGTCTCCTTTAATCTGCTCGAGACTTACAAAGTAACGCTTTTTGCGCTATTAACTTCCGATTATTCGCATTTCAAGCAAAAATAAAAAGAAGTAAAAACGAAGTTTCCGCGAGACTTAGACGATGTCGGAAATAGCCTCGGAAGTGCATAACCGACTGAAAAGCATAGCGAGCGCGGTAACTTCCTCCTGTCTGCTCCACCGCGAATTCAGGGCGCACTGAAGGAAATGTAAGAAGACGGGGAAAGCTATTTGCGAAAGATGAAAACGACGAGGAAAATACCCTCTTCACCCCCCCCCACCCCCAACTTCCCCAGCCGGCTAAACCAAATTGGGAGGGGGCTATATAAACTATCGGCTGACTTGCTCCGAGATACGTTGCGTAAGGAGGTTGGATGGCTTCCAATCAGCGCAAAAGTTGTGAGAGCATCCGTGAAAACCCTCCTTGAACGACCTCCCACATTGTTTATTCCAGCACACCGTTGAAGATTGGCCTACAAGACACCAGCACAGCGCGGTGAAAGTTCAAGTCCATCAGATAATTCGAATTGACTCTCCTACCGCTCCCTTTCGGTAGTTGTCTAATCGGTCTAGCGCGCAAGTATCCGTCCCCAACAGGGTGGACAACAAATGAGTATACCTATATGCTTCCACACAGAGCCTCCATAAAGGTTTAATCGTCAGTTTGACAATAGAAGACGGTCCAATATGCGAGACGCGATACGCAAGTGCTGAGTAAAATTAAACTGTATATTTAGAAGTTATTAACGCTTGCGAGTACTTGGTACTCGACTACGGGCGAACCTAAAGCTGTCCCATGGGCATCATACACCATGAGGCCGTGTCAGGGGGGGGGGGGGGGGGAAGTGGGTAACGATTTAGAGTACAGGGTCAGACGCTTATTAATTTATCATCAACATTGTAAGAAATCTCGCGACCACTCTGTCGACAAAAGCCCTTTACTTATTAGAGAGGTATACATGCATGCAAGTGCAGCAACGTCTTTGTGTCACAATACACCCTTAAAACATCAGATATAAAAATGGCAATGAATATGACACGCATACGTTCCGTGAAGCGATTCAATCTTTATGTCAAGAGAAACCACGTGGCATTTGGAGCGGACGAGTGTGCAAAGAGTTGGAAGGCCACCAGCATGGGTATACGGCTAGTGGGAGCAAAGCAAAAAAACGTGCTAATGGTTAGAAGTTCGAACAGAAAAATTCAAACTAAATAAATAAATAAATAAATAAATACATCACGAAGACAAATGATTTAGTTGAAACGCTATTTGACGCCACTTAACCCGTGAGAAAGCTATCGCTCTGCGGCACAAATATATATATATATATATATATATATATATATATATATATATATATATATATATATATATATATATATATATATATATATATATATATACCAGATTTGTTGAACGTCATTCACGCTGGACCCGACGTATTGTAAGCAAAAAGGGACGACGAAACTTTCATGGAAGCGTCTTTACTTAACGTTTTCAGCTGGTGGACCAGCCTTCGTCAGAGTAATGTGACAAGCGTTCATACATGGCTTTAAAAGCTCCTTTCAATAACAGATCAGCGCCATCTGCTCTGGTTAGCATTACAATGCGCATCATAAAATGTCAAGTCCTTCAGAAAAAAAAGACAAAAAATACGAAAACCAGAAGGGTACATACATACTGAAGACATAGTTAAAGACTCCTTTACATGTACTGTGACGTGATATCATGTTTATACATAGTTAAGATATGTAGAAGTGCAGTGTGTAATGACATTGCTTGGCAGCATAAGAACCATCTTAGTGATATGTGAACGTATAATGGAGGCCACTGTGAAATGATTGAAGATAAATAAAAATAAAAAGGGCAGACATAAGAGGCGTGATTTGGGTGGTACAATTTGAAACCAGTGCATCATCGCTCTTAATCTAGTGAAAGACAGGTCAGTTTTCCTTTGTTTTCGTTGATTCCAGCTGAAACAGTGTTAAATTTATGAATTAGATATGATTCGCGCAGTTCAGGATCATGGCTGGTGCGAAATCCCGATTCTAGTATCGTGACTTTGAGGTTACTAAATGAGTGGCCGGGCATGTTCCCATGCTTTGATAATGGAAGGTTTGGTTGGGTTTTAGCATGCGATCTGTGATTGTTGAAACGTATTCTGAATGGGGTTTCAGTGTGGCCTATGTATTGCATATGGCAGGTGCCACACTCAAGCAAATACACTACATTAGACGAATCACAATTAAAGCTTCCCTTAATTGTGAAAATGAATTGGTTAGATGTGTGTGTGGCTGTTAATGACGGTTCTATATGAGGACATATATATATATATATATATATATATATATATATATATATATATATATATATTATATATATATATATATATATATAGTCGTTTACTTTTTTCTTCGTGTGGGCAGATACTTCAGTGCATAACATGAGTTATTGTTAGCATTTAAGTACACTCGCTTATTTAAAAGTGTCACACACGTTTTTTATCCATTCTTCAGCATGTGTAACGATAGAAGCTCGCTTTTTGCGCACGTATCTCTGTGTGCAAACTAATATGTGTGATAATTATGTGTGACTATTGTGCACTATTGTGTATTACATTGCGACCTCGTGTGCGTCTTGTCAATCAGCATACCGAGATGTCGTGATTGGCATTAGTGTACCGCGTGGCACAGGTTAACCACGCCCTATACGTTTTTGTGTACACGTACGGCCGTGCGAGGAAGTCACCTGGTGATTTTTAGAAGTCATCGCGTAGTTTCCTCTTCTATGTAGCTCCAGGTTTTATTATTAGCAGTGATATCCAGTATATTAACCTCAACCAATAATCAATTCTTTCTCATGAAGAGGTAGCAGTAGCCATATTATTATTGTATTCGCGAGATTCTACCTAATGTGTAGACATGTCACTTTGATTCCTCTTTTTTTTTTCGTACTTGAGTGTATTTGAAAATCTGATTTTTACTTGGAATTTAATCTTTTAGGTATACAATGTACTCGCTAAATAATGCTGCACCGGATCATTTCATCTTTCTTATGACCTATAAATACTCTAATCTACTATGTATTCGGACGTTCTTTTTGAAATGATGAACATCTCTTCAAGGTAAATGAAAATATGCTACTTCTTCGGCGCGTTAATGCGACCACTTACCAGCTTACAGACCCACTGAGACCGTAAATGAACAGCAAGTTATTCATGATAGCAACATACAGCAGGCCTGCCGAAGCGGGCAAAGGTGCGAAGAAAAACACAACACAAGCAGCTAACAATCGACTCAAATGGCTCAAAGTGACCTACAAGCAGCTTAAAACGGATACCCACAGATTACGCTTGCGTCCATGCCTTCGTCATCGACATCAGTATTTTCCATTCACCTTCCCTAGTCCTCATGTTCACCCTTTTTCGAACATGACTATATACCAGGCCCATAACTTTCTGTTCCTCTAAGTATCTAAAGTTAAGTATGATATTCGGCAAACTTGTGGCACTCTAAGCAGAGATGCAGCTTTGCTGCGGTGATAGCACAATGGCAGTCCTTCGCATTGGATCTCATAGCTAGGGGAACCTACTGGTTGTGCGTATATCAGCGAACATTTCAGAAGGACTGCAGAAGATCTCACACGTTCAGAACAGGTGAACAACGGTACTTGCGACGCGCGTGCATTATGACCTAAAGAAGTTACTTTTGGTCTGCATTCGACGAGAGCATTCGAAAATATTCGGGATATCACATATTAAGTGAACTCTACATTGAGCTAAAGCATGAAGCGATATTCTGATGAAGAATGTCGTCAGTTAAAAAATACATGCCTGATCCTTCCGCTAGTAATCGGTATAACAAGAAAGTAGAACGTTTCTTCACATAAAGAATACTTATCGTGTAGCGATATATGGGAGCTTGTGCAATGTCTATTGGCGTTTGACAGCTTAACACCATTCAACGTCGATGGACACATGTTGACGCCTTATGGCACGTATCTATCATGATATCTAACACACATAATCGTGAGTTAACCGTTATGGTAGCTGAAGCTGTTACAATTAGCTGGACGCATCCTATAGTGAATCCCATCATATAGTGG